ACAGCTGTGCCCCCTTAGTTTGCAGACAGCATCAACCTGCGGAGCTGCCTTCCTTCCTAGAGCTTCAGCTGCTTTCAGTGTAAACAGTTCCCAACCAGCAAACAGTTGAATTCCATTCATTAGTTAGATACTTGGGTATTCAGAAGTCACACGTGATTCTTAATTGCTGGTCAAAAAGCAAATTTAAGCCATGGGGTAAGTGAGATATAGTACTGACAAGACTGTTTTGACATCATTCAACCCCAGACATTCAATATTGTACAAAATGCAATTTCAAAAATAAGAATGTATAATTTCAGGGCAGAACAGCCTTCCCCAAAAGCAGCCCCTAAGGAGATCGTTCCACTTATCTATTGCTGGGGCACAAACTACCTTAAAACATAATAGCTCAAAACAACAACTGTTTTGTTATATCATGATTTTATGGGTGTGAACAGATTTGAAAGAGAAATTTTCTCTGTTTATATAGTTCCTAATTGAAAACTTTCAATTGAAATGGAATTTTTAAATGAAATAAGCCATAATAATTGAGATGAGAAGGAAAGGCAGTATTTTTGAGTGATTTTGGGTTATCTATATGTTACTCATGGTGTTGATGGGGGCCACTCAGTAGTCATCTGGCAGAGAGTAGGTTTGGAGGATCCAAGACAGCTCATTCGCATGGCTGGTGCCTTGGCAGGGATGTCTGCAAGGCTGGAGTCAGTGGGGACTGTCCACCAGAGCACCTACATGTTTGCCTCTCATCAGGGTGGTCACAGTCGTGAGACTTCTTACGTGGCAGCTCAAGTTTTCAAGAGGCAAGGCAGAGGCTACAATGTCTCTTGTGACTTAGCCTCAGAAGTCACACAACACCATTTACACACATTTACATCTATTGATTGAGAAGTCACAAATCTCCTCAGATTCAGGGAATGGAACATAGATGTCCCCTCTTAATGGAAGGTGGAACAAAGAATTTGAGGCCTTGTTTTTAAAACTACTGAAGGGATAGAATCCACTGGAGGTTAGAGGCACATATATCAAAGCATAAAAGCTTGCTCATTGTATGTATTGCAGCTCCTAAACAAAGGGACTTCTATTAATGTTTAATTGTAGGGAAAAGGGCAGTTATCCTAATGAGGCAGAAGATTTCTAAACTCTCCAAGTACCTATTAATTCATATGTACCAATTGTTGGTGAAATATGTTAAAGGAAAACTTGGCCTCATATCTCTTCCTTTAAGTACCTCTGACAATTTGAAAATAATTCTACCTATTTTTGAATTAGGAGTGATTACTTAATAACACAATTTAATTAATATTTCACAGTTCAAATCTTCTTTATATTTGGCAAACACAAGCTGGGTTTTTGTGTGTCATATTTTATTTTCTTTCTCATTGGTGCCTTCTTATCACCCTAAAAATGAAGATACATATCATAAAATTGTGAAGAAAACATCGTACAATAGGAAATCTTAGCCCTTATTCCTTTTGTTCCCATTTGTATGTTAAGTGATTTATTTCTTACATTTATCACTAGAATGAATTCCAAAGTACTGTTCCTGAACTGGGGACTTGCTTTCATGATTGACAATGTCAGATGTTGTACAAGATGAACAGCCTACAAGAGAGAAGTGCCTTATTTCACCCACCAAAGAATAGTGTCTTAGAATCAGTGATGAAGCTAAGGATGGCCGTCTTTAAAAATGCCACTGACATTATCCCTCCCCTGCTTTCCACAGGCAATGATACGTGTATATCAAGACAATGAATCCTGGCTTTATCTATTTAGGATTACAGTTTGAAAGAGAATTGAGAGAACTAAGCAACTAGTTGATCCAGTATAAAGGGCATCTAGGCAGAATTGGACTGGAACTGGGAAAGAAAGGTAACAAAAAGAAGAATTTGATTCAGGTTTAAATTAAGAGTTCTTCCCAGTTTGTTTATAGAGAATTCATTAATATTCATACTGAATCCTTATTGTGCTAAGCCCCCACCAGCTCATAGAGGAACTCCATTGTGAGATCCTTTGGGAACTTATGGAGGCTTCGAAGGAAAGTCTTTCGATACACTTAAGAATCAGTCTGGGTCTCCATTTTCACTGGTTTCTATAACACCATTTCAGGCAATATTTGTGAGGGATCTTAGACAATGTCTAAAGGTGCAAAACTAGAGAAATATACCATGGAGAAGGTGTGCTTCGGCATATGGCTCTCTCTGCTAGCTCTGGCAATCCAAGCCATTCAGTCCTACTGGCCTCACTTAATTCCAAGCTCTGGATGGTCCCTACTGTGATTCAGATTACTGCTCATTGTCTTGACTACTAATGCTAGACATCTTCACTGTGCTCCAACATCTCTGTCATCTCTCACAAAGAGAAGGAGATGCATTTTATTCTCTGTCGTAGGCTCTTTGGAGGGTCCCACTGTGGAGAGTTCCTTGAACTTCAAAACAAGAGAAATTTTAATTCACACAGAGATCCAGGGATGCTGGAAAAGGTTGAATGAGTACAGAGCCGATTCCCACACCATATATGAAACAAAAACTTCCCTCCATCCCTCAGTCAGTCCTTTTGCTAAATTTGGGTCATCATATCAGAGTCACACTGGAATGTGACTGTATCATGTTCCCTGACACACTTCAAATGTGGCATGCACACACACACACACACACATTTGTACCATATATGTTTGCATATATCTATATTCAATTTTAAACACATTTCCAAGTTCTTATCCACTCTTTTGTGCAGATAAAGTAGATTCTGGAGGAAAGAAACGTTGGTTTATTTCATACTTTAAAATTAGCCAGTCCTCAATTTCACCCTAACTAGGATGGCTACTCTGCTCCTATTTTACCATTTCAATTTAGAATCATTACTCCTCCCTTACTTGTTTATTTTCACTTCTAAACTGTGACCTACCATAGGGGAGGAGACAAAGCCAAGTCTCTTGGTCCACAAATACCTTTCTATATTCCCAATACCCAGTGTGATCTTAGGCATAAAATATTTGTTGAATAAATGACCAAGGAGAATTCAAAATGATGCTATAGGTCTCCAAATCACAAGAATTTCAGTCCTTTAAATAACTGTCAATAATCTGTCTTCAATAGTAACCATTTAAAACTTTATAAAATGACAATGTATCTTATTTATAATAAGTATGTCATAAAAGATGACAACAATATCAGCTAGAATTCTAAGCACAACCTCACCAAAATGTGGGGTTTAAGAGTCTATTCATCTTTGTATCATCTCTGAAATGTCATTGTTTCATACATATAATCAGAGCCCTTCCTACAAATGATTTTTTTTGTGTTGGAAGTAAAGAGGACAGAGTGCCTGAGGAGGATTAAGTTCAAGAGATATGGTGCTCAAAGTCTCTGGATGGGAAGGAGCATTAAGATGTGAGGAGGTATCTATGATTTTTTTACTATAAATGAGTGACATATAAATTTAATGCAAGTTATATGCACACCAGAGTCTATTATTTCCAATAAACATCCTAAAACTGTATTTCTATAATAAGGCTACTGCAGCAAAATCACATTACTAAAAATAATCTCTCCAAAATTGTAATCAATATGATAGTTTTTCAGTGGGACTTGGGAAACGAGACATTTCCTAAAGTGAAGTCCATCAAACGAATGAAAGGCAAAATGCACTGATTCTCCTAAATGATGTGTAGGCTTGAGTTTACATTTCATGCCAGAGCTGAGGTGCCCTGGTACTGTTCATTTGGGGACCACATGCTCAGGACAACAAGCCTCCTTACAATGGTGTACCAGTGTTTCCTCACCCGGGTGCAGAGATAGAGTGATGATTACCCTGTCCCTGGCCTCCTCCTGGGCCTTCCAACAATGGTACTACTTGGTACCAGCTCTGAGGCTCTGTGGCACTGAGACAGGACCACCTCATTTCCCATGGAAGAGCAAATAGTCTGCAGATGTCCACAGCCAAGTCATCAACAACCTAGGTTGGTTTTAACATAATCTAGAGATCCCCAAAGTCAACCTTTCAAATAGTACATGCTTCTTAGATTAACAACTGTCCTTCAAAGGACATGTTTGTTTGACAAGTCTAATATAAAGATCTTCCGCTTGGTAATTTGACCTTATTGGACCATAAGGAAAAGCCAGGAGACACGCAAAAGCCTGAAATAATCTTAGGCCCCAAAAGAAAATAAAATGCACAGCACAAAGGATAATTTAACTCACAATTAAAAAAACAACAATACTGGATTGTGGATTCTTTTAAACATTTCCATACAAAACTGGAAATGTACACAAAACTTTATTATACTGTGATCTGACAGAGAAAAAGAGGCTGTCTGTATCCACAGGATTAATAACCTCGACAGAACTGATGTCAATTCTCTTAAGCAGCGAGGCAATTCAGATAAACAATGAGTCATTTAAATAAATGCTTGGTCTGATTATCTCTTTTTCAAAGAATTAACTGGTTGCTTGATGAAAGTGCTCAAAGGGGTCTGATATTTTAACATTGGAAGACCTAAATTGAGAATCTTTGTTAACTTTTTTTTTTTTTTTTTTAAGATTTTAAGTTTAAGTAATCTCTACACCCAACTTGGGGCTTGAACTCACAACCCTGAGATCAAGAATTGAATGCTCCACCAACAGAGACAGCCAGACACCACTTTGTTCACAACTTTCTTAAAAAAGAAAGAGAAATCAAAACTACTTACCATATATTTTAGTTGCCTCTGTAGGTAAAATACACCACCATAACCACTACCACTTCTCATAAAAACGATTGGAAAACCTCCCCAACCTTTCACCTCAATTGTTCAATTCAACAGCATTACAGAATGAAATGTCTGCTGTATGATCAATGTCTGATTTTACTAAATGGCATAGGAAAGAGGATTAAAATAAAATATACAGTAGGCCAAACCATTCTCTTCCACAACAAAGTTCCTGCCTTGGCCCAGTCAGTAGGAGTGTCCTCCCTCTCTTCCATCCCTATCATTGTCCCTGCCCAAGGGAAGAGAAGTGACTCACCCAAGGAGTGTGACCGCAACACCTGGCAAGCAGGACCTGAGGTCGCAGGGGCAGCCTCTGTCTGTCTGTTTCTTTCCGTCTCTCCATGGCTCTGAATGCCCTGACCTGCGGACAAACACATTCTTAGCTCAAACATTCAGGAAGTGGAGGGGGCCTCATAGTCTGTGATGGCCCAGCCCTGCCTGCAACAGGATGTGTGAACTGTGTGTAGAGACAAGGAAGTAGGAAGCCCACGTGGGCACAGAGCTATGATGTGACCTCTAATCAGGTTTATTAGTAATTAAGTTGAGATATTGGTCTTCTATCTTAGTGTTGGTTCCAAACTCAGGAGGGAAAGAGAGGGATGTTATTTATTGCCCTTCCCTGAGAATCCAATACATTTAAACTTTAATTATCTATTATAGTAATATTTTGATTCTCCATTTGACCTTCTAATGCTGGCACCAGATTAAACCTGAATAGAAGAATGGGAATGCCTTGAATATCTACCAATGAATATTGATGTGCTGGTAAACATTCAACAACCAGCTTTCTGCATTGGGGGTAGGTGGTAGATGGGGAGGAAGTCCTGGTTTGTCATACTTGATCCCTTTTGTGGTGTGAATACTGCTACCATGACCCATTTCAAGCTCCCAATGTGAATGATATCACTGCTCACAATGGGCTCTCAGAAACTGGTATTAACCGGCTATAACACCCCATTATCTATAAAGTATGAGGAGTTTCTGTTATATCCTGAAAATTAAATGCCAAGAATTATTGTGCTACTTTTATAAACAAACAACCACTTTATCATCTATGGAAACTAATGAAGTGACTATAATACTTATTATCCAGCTATATATTAAGGAAGAATCACCCACTTCAACATCCAGTTCAAATAAAATAACAAGTTGAAACATCCTTCCCTTCTTCTCTACATCATTTTTTTTTATCTTTCTCCTCTTTCTTCTACAAATCAGGGTGTTTGGTTTTAAGAAGTAGCAGCAGAAACAACCCTCTGAAGGACTATTTGTGGCAACGTTCATGAAGATTAAGAGTGGAGACACATTAAGAAGTATGAATACTTGTGAAGTCCCCTAGCTAGGAGGTCCTGAAGTCTAGAGAAAGTATGTGCATTGGAAAGAATGGGATTGCAAGTGACAGAGCTGGGTTTGAATGCTAGCTCTGGCGTTTACTGGTGTTGCCACCTTGGCAAGGTGGTTAACAGCAGGCCTATAACACACTCTCTGTCATTCCTGAGGAAATTCCCCTGGGAAAAAAAGAAGGAAGATAATTTGGTCAAACTTCCCTGTAAGCATGTAACACAGACATCCAAGAAAACACACTAACACTGTTCATAGTGGGAGAATCCTTATCTGTAGAATGATTTGGGCAGGATGAGCCTGATCTGTCTAAGATTGATTATGAGAGTAATCAGATCTACAATTTATGTAATATTCCTCCCTAAAAACTGTCATGTAATCCATTTTACTACTGGAATATAACATGGAGATGTGTCACGAAAGAAATGGCTCTCTTCTGTGTAAAGCAATGTGACTGCACACATCATGTAGAGATCCTGTTTGTTACTTAGGACCAAAACTAGTCCCAGTGCAGCAGGAAATGACCTTGGAGCTGTGTTGGTGGGTCCCAGACTTCTCCCTGCTTCATTAGTGCCTTGAAGTTATTTGTATCCTTGAAACTATTAGCAAAGCCTGCTACTGTGTGAGATATATGATTCTGTGGGCCTGATTTGATTATCTGGACCTTTGTGCTATCTCACACCCTAGCAAGTTAGTTAATCCTTTGATCACCAGTTTTGTCATCTGTAAAATGGGGATGATGATGTTTACCTTCCATAAATGTTAAAAAGAATAAACCAGATATGTACTGATGCATAGCAAAGTACAATAGATGTCTCCAAACCCTCTCACTCTCCACTACTGAAATGATGTTCTTGGGTGTAGGTGTTAAGTCTCCAGACTCATTCTGTGATATTGTGATTTATTTATTTATTTTTTAAATGTTTGTTTATTTTTGAGAGATGACAGAGTGAGAGAGGGTGACACAGAATCTGAAGCAGGCTCCAGGCTCCAAGCTGATAGCACAGAGCCTGAGGCAGGGCTTGAAACCATGAACCTTGAGATCGTGACCTAAGCTGAAGTTGGACACTTAATTGATGGAGCCACCAAGGAGCCCCTGTGATATTATGATATATAATAAAAAATAGGGCGCCTGCGTGGCTCAGTTGGTTGAGCGTCTGACTCTTGATTTCAGCTCAGGTCATGATCCCAGGGTGGGATTGAGCCCTGCCTCAGACTTCCTGCTGAGTGCAGAGACTGCTTAAGATTCTCATTCCTCTCTGTTCCTCTCTCTGCCCCTCCCCTGATCACTGTCACCCTCAAAATAAATAAACGAACTTATAATAAGGAATTAGGAAGCCCACATGGGCACAGAGCTATCCATAAATATGGATCTTTCTTGACCTGTGATGGGGTTATGTCCCAATAAAATCATCATTAAGTTGAAGGTACCATAAATCAAAAGTGCATTTAAAATCCCTAATCTACCAAATGTCATAGCTTAGCCTAGCGTATACTAAATATGCTGAGAACACTTAGCCTACAGTTGGGCAAAATCATCTAACATCACATCTATTTTATAATAAAGTGTTGAATAACTCATGCAATTTATTGAATACTCTACTGAAAAGTGAAAGACAGAATGGCTGTATGAGTACAAAGTGGTTATAAGTCTATCAGTTGTTTACCCTTGTGATTGTATGTTTGTGACCGGGAGCCGTGGCTTGCTGCCACTGTCCAGCATCATGAAAATTGGACTTAAAATTGGCATCTAAAGTAAGAGGGCCAGTAGTGGTGAGGCGTGGGGAAAGCAGTACTGTGAGACATCCCTTAACCTGTGGGACCTGATGATATTTCCAGATAAGTAGAGATGAGGTTTTGGGGTGATGGTAGGGTTCGGAGCTGATGGCAAAGAAAGAATTCTTGAAGATGTCTTTGGTGCAAAAAGATTATTTTATTAAAGTATGAGGACAGGACCCAAGGGCAGAAAGAGCTGCCCAGGGACCACAAGGAGAGACTGATTATATACTTGGGAACTGGGGGAGGCAAAGTCAAGGGGAAGCTTCCAAAGGGATTTTCATATGCTAAAGAAGATTTGTAGGATACTGAAGGCTTAGCTATTGTTAAGCTAAGGTTGCTTTTCCCTCTAGCAAAGTATTAGAATTAAGACAGTAGGGAGTTCCTGGAGAAATGTTCTACTCTGCCTGCCTCAAGTATCTGTTAATGGGCTGCAGGTTATAAGAAAATTTAATTTTACTCCCCTTTCCCTCTTGCCTTTGTTCCCACATCACTATGGAGGGGAAGGTGATACTAGGGACTCCCGAAAACTGAGTCTATAGTTTCTGGATATTAGGCTACTGATAAGATTGCCTTTTTCTTGTAATCTGCTAAGATATTTGTAAACCATGTCCTGTATGACTGTGTTCTCTATCAGTTAACCATTTGTTTTCTTTCCTTTCCTTTGTTCTTGGGCAGCCAGGAATGCCTGAGGAATATCACACATATCCCACCTGGGGGTGGGGAGTGCTAGCTTGTATTTTGCCCTCAGCTTGCCTTATGCTCCCTCAATAGGTAGTATCAGAATTGAGTTAAATTGCAGGAAACCCAGTTGGTGTTGCAGTATGCTTGGAGTAAAGAAAATCCCTGAAACATTTGGTATCAGAAGTGTTCAGAGAGTACTGTATATAATGTAAATGAAAACAATAGAATTTTTCTTTATAATTAACTTTATTAATAAAGTATCTGATGAAAGAGAAAAAGTGGATCAATTATGCAAACAGTGGAATATGTCAACTCTTTCCTCTATATTCTCTATTCTCCAAATTATGCACAAATCAATGGGGTGTCAACTGTAAACACATTTTTTTCTTTTCTAAAAAAGAACCCCTGCTCTTTCCAGCTCCCACTGCCTCAGCAAGAGGAGCTGCCTCCACATTCAAGCCTCTACAACAGCTATTCATGGGGAATGCCTCTTGATTTCCAGTCAAGGGGAACAAGCAGACATAGCACCAAACATAGCAATTGGAAGACTCAACCCCTGCTATTAACAGGTGTGATACACCACAAGACTGTGGGTGAGGAGCTAGCAGCCCAGGGCAAAGGTAACCCTGGTGGTCATGAAGTAGAGATCTGGCCAGTGAAAGTCAGCCGCCTCCAACTTGGGGATCACCATCAACCAGAACACCCAGGCCACCCTCAGCAGCACCTGGCACATGATCCGCAAGAACAAGTACTGTTCCCCCTCTGTAAACCATAGCCATCTGCAGAATGCATATCATCTGTGCAGACAGAAGCCAGTGACAGTGAAGAGGAAGCAGGTCCACCCACGAAGAACTCCAGAGACCACCCCTTCAACCCCAACAGGAATAAAGATGTCAGCTGGCTTGTCAAGGAAGGAAAAGGAAAAGAAGGAAAGAAAAGGAAACACATGAAAGGAAGGAAGGAAGGAAGGAAGGAAGGAAGGAAGGAAGGAAGGAAGGAAGGAAAGAAGGAAGGAAGGAAGGAAGGAAAAGGAAAGGAAGGGGAAAGAGAGGAAAGAAAACAAAAGAAAAAAGGAAGGACGATCCTAAAATACCAATCTGCTTAAAAGCTTCTAAATTATTAAAGTAGATTTCTGGATTAAAACTCTGTAGCATCACTAAAATTTTTTTTTAGCATCACTAAAATTTTTAAATAAAATAGATGGTCTGGTAAAAGTAAAAAAAAAAAACTCAAAAAACCCCAAAAACAAAAACAAAAACAAAAACCCATTTGTTTCCCTAAGCATTTACTCAAGAAGCATTTATTAAGCACCTCCTATATGCCAGGTACATTGAAAGCTGTGATAACAGAAAGGTGAACAAAACAACATGATTCCTGCTCTTTCATACAGCATTTATAATCTGTAGAGGAACCATCTTTAAACAAATATCACACAAGTAAATTTATTATTACAAATCCTGTTTAGTGTTGAGAAGAAAAAGTATAGACAGTATGAGAGAGTAGACAGGAGGACTATTTTTATATTGAGGCTCCGAGAGCAGGACGTTGAAGCCAGGGCTC